ATACAAAAGGCTAATAAGTACATGAAAAAATGTTCAATGTCATTAGCAATTAGGGAAGTGCAAATCATCTCATACCAGTCTAAATGGCAGTCATCAAGAATACAAATAATAGGGCTGGGGATGTGGCTCAAGTGGTAGCGCGCTCACCTGGCATGCGATCCTCAGCACCACATACAAACAAAGATGTTGTGTCTGCCGAAAAACTAAAAAATAAATATTAAAAAAAATTATCTCAAAAAAAAAAAAGAATACAAATAATAATTGGGCTGGGATTATAGCTCGGCGGTAGAGCACTCGCCTAAGCACATGCAAGGCCCCGGGTTCCATCCTCAGCACCACATAAAAATAAATTAAAAAATAAATAAATAAAAAGATATTGTGTCCAGCTGCAACTAAAAAATATTTTTTAAAATACGAATAATAATAAATAATACATATTAATAAATAGTAATACATAATAATAAATGCTGGAGAGGATGTGGAGAAAAAGGAACACTTTCACATTGTTGATGGGACTGTAAATTAGTACAATAACTATGGAAATCAGTATGGGGAGGTTCCCCAGAAGCCTAGGCATGGACCCACCATATGACCCAAATATACTACTCCTTGGCATTTTCCCTGAAGAATTAAAGTTATCTTACTACACTGATACATAAACACCCATGTTTATAGCAGCACAACTCATAATAGCCAAGCTGTGGAACTAGCCTAAGTGTCCATCAATAGATGAATGAATAAAGAAAATGTGCTATATATTCACAATGGAGTTTTATTCAGCCATAAATAGAAATGAAATTATGGCATTTGCAAGAAAATGGATGGAAGTAAAGACTATCATGTTAAGTGAAATAAATCAAACTCAGAAGGTTAAGGGTCTTATGTTTTCTCTCATATGTAGATGGTAGAGAGGAAAAAGGAAAAGAACGGTGGGGGTGGATCTCCTAAAACTCAAAAGGAGATCAGTAGAAGAAAAGGGACCAAAGGGCTCGGGTGGGTAGGGAAGGGGAAAGTGCTGAAGAGCAATGGTGGTCAAATTATATTATTATGTGGTGCGCATACATATGAATATGTAACAACAAATTCCTTCAATATGTACAACTACAATGCACCGATTTAAAAATGTGGAAAAAATAAAAACTGAGCCGGGCACAGTGGTGTACGCTTGTAACCCCAGAAGCTCATGAGGCTGAGGGAGAATTGCAAGTTCAAAGCCAGCCTCGGCAATGGTGAGGCACTAAGCAAGTCATTGAGATCCTGTCTCTAAATAAAATACAAAAAAAATAGGGCTGGAGGGGCTGGGGTTGTGGTTCAGGGTAGAGTGCTTGCCTAGCACGAGCAAGGTCCTGGGTTCAATCCTCAGCATCACGTAAAAATAAAAGTATTGTGTCCAACTACAACTAAAAAATTAAAAAAAAAAAAGGGCTGGGGATGTGGCTCAGTGGTTGAGTACTCCTGAATTCAATCCTCAGTAGGTTTGTGATACATGTCCTAGCTATAAGGCATCATCTGTTTCTGCCAATAAAGTACAAAGCTTCTTCTGTCCCATAGAAATGAGAGTTGCTTCTTTGCCTGCCCCAGTGGATGACTTCATGAGGGAATTAAATGTGTTTCCATCTCCCTAGAACACAAAGGATTGGAAACAAACATTGGCAGTTCTATTTGTTTATTCCCAAACTTTCTCACCATAAATCCATTTTAACTGTTGATCAGTGGGGCATAGGAGGAATGGGGAGGGATTTCAGGAGAGATTTCAAGCAAGCTGAGAGAAGTTGGGCGTGTCATGTGACTCTGTATCTATTCTGCTGGAGTGAACTGACTGAAGGTAGTTGTACAGCTCTAGGCTGCACCCCACCCTACACTGCAAAAGAAAGCCTTCAGCCCATGGTTTGGGAGGTCCATCTGGAAGACACACATGTCTGGCCACCTTTGCTAATCTATTCTGGAGTCTCATAGCACTTGTCACATCAGAAGAAATAAATTGTTTTTTCTTTTCTTGTTGTTTTTGCAGTACAGGGGATTGAACCCTGAGCCTCCTTGTTCATGCTAGGTACATCCCTCAAACCCCTTTTTCTTTTTTCTTCTTCTTTTTTTTTTGGTAGCGGGGCAGTACTGAGGACTGAACCCAGGAGCATTCTACTGCTAAGCTGTATCTCCAGCCATTTTTTTTCCCCTTTTTTAATCTTATTTTGAGACAGGATCTTACTCATTTCCTGAGGCTGGCCTCAAACTTGTGGTCTTTCTGCCTTAGCCTCCTGAGCTGCTGAGATTACAGGTGGATGCCACTATACTCAGCAAAAGAAAATGTTATACCCTCCTTCCTCAAAGGAAAGAACTGATTTAGAGCAAATCTAAAGGTGTTAAGTAAGAAATCTTGGAGGAAAGAGTGACAATGACAGATTAGAATATGAGACTGATAGGTAATGTGGCAAATAATCAATTTAATAAGTTTGTAAATGTTTTTATTGTCCCTTCCCCCTCTTCACACAGCTTCTCTTCTAAGAAAGAGGCTTTCTGAATCTGTTTGACACCATGGAGAACATTGAAGTCCAGAAAATATAACAACTGTAACCATTTTATATGCAACTATAATTATATTTATAAATATGTATGGCTTCTCAAATTTCTGACTGCCATTTATCATCACTATAAAAACTCCAGAGATCCTAAAATCTTTGAATTGTAGAAACCATTCCTTCCCCCAAATGTAAAGCATTAGGAAGAAAACAATAAATTTGGAATTAATGGCCAGTTATACTCTAAATAGCACTATCTCAAATATTTAAATTTATGAGCAAACTTTTTAACACATAATTATGTTCCCAATGATTTATTAGACCTGTAAAAAAGATTTGTATATAATCTCCATATCCCAATCTCTAAATTTCTGTCATCTTCATCATGGCCAATCATAGTCGGCCATCAGGATTTTTCGTAATTTCCTTTGTGACCACACCCAGCTCCCTGTTATTAAGGGAAAGTTCTCTCTAAAGAGCTTTGCTTGGTGTTAGAAGGAACAGGAATGGGATACTAGGCGGGGACCACTGCATGGGAGGACCTATGGCAGTCAGGTGAGAAGACTTCACACTGCCACGTCACTCAGCTTGTAGGCCCGTGAAAGGAGCCCAGCGCTGGACTGCTTTGCCCACCCCTGTCAAGGATCTGCTGCTGCAGGTGGGTGAGGAGGAAGTGCCTGTTAAGACCAAAGGATTGAAGAAGCAGGCAAAATCGCTGCAGGAGGAAGTGACTTGGCAACTCATGGTTCTGCAGAAGATGCTGCAGGAGTGGAAGACTGCCTGGGGGCTAAGTAAGTGAGGTCCTGGGATAACGGTGTGCATTTGTGAGCAGGTGGATCTCACCTTGGACTAGTGTTCTTCAGTCTTTGTTTCCTCAGTCCATCCCTTTCTTGTGAAATGTACAAATCTGGTTTGCCTCACTAAGGCTAGACTGGATGAGAGCCTTCCTCCATATAGCAGTGTTAGGTGAATGTTAGTTACATACATTTGGATGCTTTTTACATGAATAGATGACACTTCAATAATTTGTGGAAACTTAGCCAGGCATGGTGGTGCACACCTGTAGTCCCAGTGGCTCAGGAGGCTGAGGCAGGAGGATTGAAAGTCCAAGGCCAGTGTCAGTAAATTCTTAGCAAGACCCTGTCTCAAATAAAAAATAAAAAGGGCTGGGGATGTGGCTTGGCGATTAAGTACCCCTGGGTTCAATCCCTGGTACCAAAAAATAATAAATATTATTATCTTTCCTAATAATTATTATAATTATTTATGGAAACTCACTACACTAAGAAATACTCAAAGGCAGAAATTTTATGATCGACAAATTATACAACTGTTGTATTAATAACAATTGTTATAAAGTATATAAAATACATGTCCAAGCTTTGGTAGTGTACAAGAAAAAATGTAGTTGACTGTGGTATAAACAACTTCATTTGTGGAGTTGAGGTTGTCTACATCTAATTTTCCTTCAAAAGATCTATGAGTGGAAGGTTCAGCGCCTGGGGCAGAGTAATAGCTTAAAAAGGACTTTTTGGAGGCTTCAAGGCCTGCTGGCTTTCAGAACATGAGATTAGTAAAAACAGGAGAGGTATTCTAGATAAACTGGGCCAGATAACAAAAAAGATCAAAAAGAGATTTTGATGAAAAGCTACACTAGTTGGAGTGCCTACAGATCATGGGAGTATTAAAATGAAAAGTAGCAACTCTGCAAAGAAAGCAGTTAGCAACTAAAATGAGAAAAATGTGGAAAGCCAGAAAAAAGAGCCTCCAATTTGCAGGTAAATGGATAGAGTTGTAGAATATAATGCTAAGTAAAGTTAGCTAATTCCAAAAAACCAAATGCCAAATATTTTCTCAATTTAAGAATGCTGATTCATAATGTGGTTGGAGGTGTTGGGGGGGTGATGGGAGAATTAGATGAACTCTAGATAGGGGAAAGGGGAGGGAAGGAGGGGGGTAGAAAAGATGGTAGAATGAGATGGACATCATTACCCTAAGCACATGTATGAAGATACAAATGGTGTGACTCTACTGTGTGTATAACCAAAGATCTAAAAAATTGTGCTCTATATGTGTAATGTGAATTGTAATGCATTCTGCTGTCATATATAACAAAAATTTTAAAAAAAGAGCCCCCAAAGGCAAGGAAACTTAATGATAACCACCATAATTAACATCAATGGGCACTGAACCACCATAATATCAATGGGCACTGCCTAGTATTCAGGAAGCTCTGGGTTCAATCCCTAGTGATACACATACACACAAATTAATATCTGTCAGACTTTCCCTAGCTTGCTAGGCATTTTTCTTTTCTTTTTTTTAATATTTTTTTTTTTTTTTTTTTTTTTTTTTTTATTTATTTTTTTTTTTTTTTTTTTTAGTTTTCAGCGGACACAACATCTTTATTTGTATGTGGAGCTGAGGATCAAACCCAGAGACACGCGCATGCCAGGCGAGCTACCGCTTGAGCCACATCCCCAGCCCTGCCAGGCATTTTTCTAAATACCTTGTCTAGTTAGTGCATAGCCCTCAAAGTAATTCAATGTTAGGTTCTAGTGTTATATCTTTATTATAAATGTGATGTCTCAGGCTCTGAGAGGTTAAGTAATTTATCCAAGGTCTCACAGCTAATAACTGTGTTTACAAATCAGCTATCTCTGATAACAGAAAACCCTTATCACTATGGTTTAGTTTTGTTTTATGTTTGTTTTTTGAGATGGAGATCTTGCTGTGTTGCTTATGCTTATCTTGAACTTGTGGGCTCAAGTGATCCTCTTGCCTCAGCCTCAGTAGCTGGGACTATAGATGGTGCACCACTGTGCCCAGTCAACCACTAGGCTTTACCACCCCATTTATTTTTCAGGTGTAACAATGAAATTACTTAAGCAAAGACTAATAGACTATAGGATGGGACTGGAGGGAATGTACCTGAGAGGTCCACGGATCATCAGAAAAATAACTTCCCTAATGAACCCAAATCTGAATTCTTTATTCTGAGTTGATATTTTGTTTGAATTATTCTAGAGAAAGGGGACTCCTTGTCATCTGCCTGTAGCCCAATATCTACTGCTGACAGGTGGTTCTCTTTTCATTTTCCTCACTGTGACACAGTGGTTGAGTGGCACCATGAGACAGTGGAGAGCCTGAAGCGGGGATTGGTAAGCATGTATGATGATACTCGGATCCAAGCCATCATCACGTGTGCCACAGCTATTGTGGAACGGCCCCGGTGTGCCACCAGCCAGAAGGACTCAGGTGAGAGCTAGACTGAACTGCTTAAGAATGCCCACAAGTCAAGAGGCCAAAGAACACCTGAACTGGCGGGACCTTGGTGCTTATATGAGATCATTTACAAAGGTGGAAACCCAAGGCCCAGAGGCCTGAATTTAGTTTACCAGTAATAGAGATGAGATTCCTGACTTCTAGCCCAGTGCTTTTTTTTTTTTTTTTTCATTGCTGGATATGGAACCCAGGGCTTGCTAAGCATGTGATTTCCCACTTGTGCTTCTCCATGTCATCTCCTTTTGTTTGCTCACTGGCTTGCAAAGAAGTTTGCAATGTCCCATCTTGAGATCCATTCATAACAGCCAATATACATATATATATATATTTTTTTTATTTTTTTTTTTAATT